GCTCTGTCCTGGACGATCATCTGAAGCTGATTCTTGCCAACCCAGACCTGCTATCGTATCTCTCAACGGAGAATATCGAATGGAGCTTCACAACAGAGTTTGCGCCATGGAAGGGCGGTGTGTACGAGAGGCTGGTGAGCATTGTCAAGAGAGCCTTGAGGAAGAGTCTTGGAAGGTGCCTCCTGACTCTAGACCAGCTCGCAACCCTGACAGCCGAAGTGGAAGGCATGATCAATACGAGGCCGCTCACATATGTTGACGACGACGATGTGTCCTCATTCTCACCCCTGACACCGTCACATTTCCTCTGTGGAGGAAGAACGGCAACCGGTTTTCAGACGGACAGCGACGAGGAGGACGGTCCGGAGACACCAGCAGCCAAGGTCACGAGGATGTGGAAACGGCAACAGATACAACTGGATGTAGCATGGAAGGTGTGGGAAGACGAATACCTCCCTGCTCTGCGCGAAGCATCAATGAGTCAACACCGACAGTCACGGAGTAGCATCTCTCGGACACCAACAGTCGGAGAAGTGGTCGTAATCCAAGAGACCGGCCAGCCACGTGGAAGTTGGAGACTCGGCAGAGTGGTAGAAATCTTACCTGGAGTCGATGGCCAAGTCAGAGCTGTCAAGCTGAAGACGGCTAAATCGAAGGCAGTGTTGTCGAGACCGATCAGCAAGCTCTATCCGCTCGAGCTGCACGTTGTGGATGACGTCGGAGCAGTGGAGGCTGGTGATATGGAACACCGCCCGGCACCGGCGACGGCTATGGAACAGGCAATGGCGGACGAAGCTGCTCCAACCATGTTCCAGCCTAGGCGGGCAAATCGCAAAGCAGCAGAGAAGGCCCGTGAGCGTATCGCAGAGTGGGTAAGATAACTTTCGTTGTCGGGAATGTCATGAATGTCACCACATCATGAAGACTACTTACGATGTCCAACGACGACTCTGATTACCCAGCTGATGGCACGCGTACATTGTGAATCCGAGTATTCCCAATGTCGCCTCCATCTCATCATATAATTATACTCTCCTGCATGTTTGTCTCTGCTGCTCATCACAAACTACTTGAATCTGAACTTGTTTTCTTCTTCTCTGAATGCACTCGTTGCTAGCTGCCGAGATTTGTTTTCTTGTAGTTGCATCATTGCATTCCGCATGATCCGCGCTTGCATGATGCACGCACGCACACACACACATACGGTTGTGGTTGGCAAGTTTTGATTATGGTTGAAGGTGAAGTTTTTAGAAAGGAAACTGTGGTATGAGAATGAGTCTGAGGAGTCTGTCTTCCCCTACCGTTCTCGACACTGCCTGATAGTCCTGTGATAGCAGGATCTACATAGTGAGCAGCTCTGTGCTGAGCTGTCACACCCTTTTGGTACAATGTGGTTTGGCCAGTGTCTTGTCCCACGTGCTTAGCATGTAGGTTGAGCGACACGCGCTTTCCCACGTAGGTGACATGCCTTCTTGGCATGACACACCATGTGATCCAAGGCCGGAACCTGGTCAGGTAGGTTCTCGCGTTGTACGTTTCCTGGAAGCGCTTCACTTCCTGGAAATGTGACTCCAGGCTTTGTGCAAATCCACGTCACTACGACGTTCTACAGGTTTCCACGATGCCTCGGCGCTTCGTGCAAAGAGCCAAGACTAATATGACATTGTATAACAAGAGCTAAGTGCAAGACAGGAGACGTGTGCAAGAACCAAAACCGTCACCGCAGTGACCATGGTGACCGCACGAGAGGTCAGAGTATCAAACAAGCAAGACCAAGAATGCAGCAGAACTTACCATAAGAAGCCGCTGAACTATGGCACGTTGGGTGAGCGGGCTCCCCAGCGTGACCCTCATATACTCACATTGTACTCTGACGTGGGTGAGCGGGCTCCCCACGTCCCAATTTGGTCTTTCTTCTCTCGATGTCTTTCTTTCTCTTCTCGAATGATCACCGTACGTATATTCTGCATTTCTGCTGACTGGCTGCGCACATTCCGGTTTGACTTGTTCTGCTATTTCCTGGAAATACCTCGCAATGATCACGCCATATATCTCTGAAGCACCCTATAAAATAAGCTCTCATTCTCTCTTTTACTTCAGTTCTAGTCTAGTCTAGTCTAGTCTAGTCTAGCAGTCGAGACTCGGTCTCAGCTCTCTGTCTTCGTTTACTTTGAGCTCGGATTTGATACTACTCACAACGTAAAACTAACAGTCTCTGTCTGTTGATCGTGTGGGGTTGAACTTGGACCAAGCCAGCTATATTGGTTGGCCCCTGGGTTGTGTTGGGCTTGTCGTGAGGCCACACGTCTATATTCAGTCGCCGCTCGTAGTGATTTCGGGGTCCGGTCACACTGTGAGCCGGGGATGCGACACAGCAACTCACCACCTCGCTCTTTCAATGCGTTCTCCAATTTGGTAAATTCCTCTGTGATCTGAGTTGACACAGTATTAGACACTTCTTTGAGAACTTCCGAGTCAGCCAAAATGCTTGCAGCTGTCCGAGCATCTCCAATTTTGCTCAGGGTGTCTGAAGCTTGGTGTGATGCTCTCTCCTGTAATGCTGTGCATACATCCTGCGCAGCATAGGCTATTGTCAGTACTTGGTCAGCATGTTGAATATGGACCTTGTTGACCGTTTTGCACGTTTCACACAGGAATTCCTTGCACGGAATGCAGCACCATGACAGTTTGGAGTTAGGATGAAGTGGGCACCTGGTTGCATGAGATCTCTGCTCTGATCTGTTGCTGCTGGTTGCTGCGTCTTCACAAATACGTTCAGTTCTGTGACTATTCGTGGATTTCGACTTGAGGTGAGCGTTTCCGTGATCTGTACAGTAGAACATGGAGCAGTCGTGGCATTTGAACGTAGCTGCTTCTTCCTCATCACATTCCTCGCAAACAACACGTGCAGATCTGGTGCTGGATGAAGAGTCGGCACTAGCAACAGCGCTGTTTTCCAGTGCAGCTCTGGGTAGCGATTGTATCTGAGGTTGTCCTTGTTCCGGAGAGGGTGTGATTTCCACGCAGTTTGGCCAATGAATGATGTTGTCATCTTTGATATATGTGTGGCTCAACAACACACAGCGCACACAGCGTGTGCAGACATCGAATCAGCCTACCGTCCCGCGGTGGCTGATCACACGAAGAACACTTCAAACCAGCCATGGCTTGGTCCTCCTCTATTTCTCCAGCAGCGGTCGCCATTTCGATTTCCTCCACACATTTGTGTTCTCAACCGGACCGCTTGCCTCTCGTCTTGGTCAATAGAGCTACTGGAGATTCTGAGAAGAGGTTTTTCATATTTTTTTAGGTAAGACTAGATTCTGTAAGGTGGACGCGCAAAGTTTGCGTTTTCAAGAATTGCGCCAGTTCACGATGAGGAAGCGAAACCGCCTGTTCATAGTGCTACGTTAAATAAACTTCAACAACAACCACTAGTATCTTAGAAGGTTCAAGGTTAAGGAGAGACCAAAGAGGGGAAGGTAAGCGCAACGAAAATGAGTACAAGCTAAAGTCCCACGGGAACAAAGAATGTCGATGGAAGGTAAGCGCAACGAAAATGAGTACAAGCTAAAGTCCCACAGGAACAAAGAATGTCGATTGTTACTGGACGATGACGAGACCAGTATCAAAGATACTTGACAAAGCATGTCATGCGTGAGGAGCACTGTAGGAGTTTGGCGTTCGGTTTTGTACAATTCATTTTCGCAATTTAAAGCTTCCCCCTTCTGTACTTATCATTGATATTTCTGATCCACCCAAGTTGGGTGGTGTGCTGCTTTGCTGCTTCGAATTGTAGTTGGACCGCTTCGTCAAGCATCTTACTGGTCTCGTCACCGTCCAGTAACAATCGACATTCTTTGTTCCCGTGGGACTTTAGCTTGTTATCATTTTCGTTGCGCTCACCTTCCCCTCTTTGGTCTCTCCTTAACCTTGAACCTTCCGAGTCGGAAGGCCGGCTGTTGGTTAACAACTATCTTAACAACTATTTGTATTTGCTTAAGCCAAGAGCTGCTGATGCCGTGCAAATGCAAGTGAGCTGCCGTGGTGTTGTCCTGCAGACTGCAGACTGCTGACTCTGCAAGGTGCTATCTACTAAGTATTATCTAGGTGTCATCATTGTGACAAAGAGATGTCCTGGCAGAGCCAAGTTGACCACCGTGCGAAAAGGGTGACTCAAGCACTGGGTCGACGTTGGCGTCATGACCCCTCTTTCATCTTTGAGACAAGCATACCGTATGACTACTGCCAGGATCAACCAGATATCTGACCACTGTACAAGCAGGTGTTCTGTGTGTACATGTACACTGTATCATGTTCCCACTGTACATATATGATCATTCCCACTGTGCATGCCTGTACATGTATGGTGTTTCCATGGTACAGTCAGTATCGCCTATAGCGTTGGTGTTTGATTTTGAGCATTTTATCACTATAAAGCGATACATTACTATGACCGATACTGCATGCAATGTATGCGAGTGGGATGTCAAACGACTCAGCGCGCCGTGCACATACACACTACATACATGTACAATGTCATGTAGCTGGCTGTAGCTCCTGACACACAAAATCAGCATTTCCTCATGATGGAGGCATATTTTGGCAACTTGTACAAGCAAACTCACCAAACACACTCACTGGACAAGTTCTTCACGAAGAAGTAACACCCTGTTCTCCTCTGACATCGCTTGATTTTACATCAATCACTATAACCGATGCAAAAATAGTGTAATAAAGGTCTTTTGAAATATGAATTTGATCACTATAGGCGATATATTACTATAGACGATTATTACTATACGCGATAACTGTGTATACTTAGTCATGGCAAATGAAAATGAATTTGAGAAATTGATCACTATATCCGGTATATTACTATAGCCGCCAACCTTATAGGTGATACGGACTGTACATGTATGATCATTCCCACTGTGCATGTATGATCATTCCCACTGTGCATGACGGTACATGTATGATCATTCCCACTGTGCATGCAGGTGTTCTGTGTGTATGAGAATCACGTAGTTGGTGTACACAGTCTCCACACTGGTGATCTGCTACATCTGTTCTACGGTCTGGATTACCAACACTTAGCTGCCTTACCGGCTATGACCAGTTGCCATGGCAGTCTGCTCATGGTCAGATGTAAGTATACAAGCATGTGTGTGTGTGTGTGTGTGTGTGTGTGTGTGTGTGTGTGTGTGTGTGTGTGTGTGTGTGTGTGTGTGTGTGTGTGTGTGTCTGTCTCTCTCTCTCTCTCTCTCTCTCTCTCTCTCTGTCTGTCTGTCTGTCTCTCTCTCTCTCTCTCTCTCTCTCTCTCTCTCTCTCTCTCTCTCTCTCTCTTGTTGCCAGGGCAGTCTGCTCATGGTCAGATGTAAGTATACCAGCATGTCACGTCCATAGCTTAGGGGTGAGAGTGAGCATACGGGTGTATGGGATGAACAAGTGTAAGTACGAGTGGGCATCGACGAAATACTCTACCTTTTTTCTCTCTCCTTTTTTTCTCTCTCCCTCTCTGAAGACCCCCAGTTATTTTGTTTTCTGTTCGACCTTCTTTGAGGTGGCGCATTGTACTGTTGAGGCAAGGAACTAACATCAATCAAGGACAGGCAAAAACAAACAAGTCATGTATGTCTGAGTTTATGTCCGAGTGGATATGCAACTGTACGTACGAGTGTATGTAAGAGTGTATGTACGAGTGAATACGAGGTGTACATACGAGTACATGTACTTCGTATGGTGTGCGAATGCCTTAGTGGTGGATAGGAGAGGAGAGGAGGAGGTGTGATAAGCAGCAGTGAAGCTAGTTTGAACAAGCCCTGTTGTCTCTCTGTCTCTGTCTGCGTCTCTGTCTCTGTCCCTCTCTCTCTCTCTCTCTCTCTCTCTCTCTCTCTCTTTCTTTCTCTCTCTCTCTATCTCTCTCTCCATCCATCAGTCCGCCTGTCCATCCATCAGTCTATCTATCCTCAAGTATCTCCATGTATACGAGTATATATTTTCCTGTCCCCTCTGTGCAGGTCTGGAGGCACATGCAAAGCACGGCTTCAAACTCTATGACAGAAGAGAGCACGAAAGGTTTACCTTTGTCACCACCCTCAACCCATCACCATTCAGAGCAGCCAGTGACACCTTAGCCTACTCCACACAGGTAAATAGTACCGTGTTGTCCGGAGTATAAACCACATCCACATTTTTCTGACGATGGGTGACTGGCCCGAGACACCAATAATTTTTCGACATCACCAGTAAAAGAACTTTTTATCGAGCGCATGCGCCAAGAGTGAATAGCAACTGAAGAGAGCGGTTGTCAGTTGACAAACCCGCCTTTTATTTACAATGCAGTTGCATGATGTCCACCACTTTCTGAAATCCAGATTTTTGGTCACGAAATAAGTGACGAAACGCAGACATCTACCCTACGATCAAGAGTCCATAAACAAGAGTATGCAACTGTGATCTCTTTTCTATGGGCCAGATGCGCGGCGCGCTGCCTTCGTTACATCATTCAGCTGCAGTCCGCGCACTGCGGAAAATCAAGCACCGCACTTTCCCTCTGGTTTGAAATGAACTTTCGTACGGAACTGGAGTTCACACGCCAGAATTCAGAGATCGCGTAGGTACTGGAACGAATCGAGCAAAAACGGATGGGCTCGTACGAGAAATTGTGAGTTTGAATGCATGCTTTCAGAGCGTAATGAAGGCAAGTTACGTAATGAAGGCAGCGCGCCACACACTGGGCCATGACCACAGTTGCATACTCTTGTTTATGCACTCTTGCTACGATGCATCACCATCAATTTGATCATCGCAGTATAAACCGCACCTTGTGGGGATACTGGTGCGGTTTTAAATGCAGCTTATATTCCGGGTACCAGGTTCAAGTCCTCCTTGGAAGCGGAAGGATTTTTTCCAGCCGTGCTGCAACCCACATTTTCGGTCTTTGACCACTTTGTGGCGGGTCTGATCTACTCACCTCCCACCGCTTACAGTCCATTCAGAAAAAGATGGACTTCTAGCTTTTGGCCATAAATGGGTCAAACTTCGAGTTTTTTTAGAATTTTTTCTGCAATCCCCTATGGAATCCTCTTCCAATTATGTTTCTGAAGTTTTTTTGTCCAAAAAGGAAGCCATAACAAGAATAGGATTTCGGCCAGGTTTTGCCCCCAAAGCATTGAATTGGGAAAAACCGTAAAAATCCAGGCCGTTTGACCCCGTCTGCAACAGTGCATTGTGCAGTTCGAACCCCAGTTCAGGTACCCTTTTTGGACCCATTTTCAAATTTCAAATTTCGCAGCACTGCACTGTGCACGATGAAATCACGAAAAATCGTCAAATACGGAAGCTCGCCAGAGCCAGGGCCCATCTTTTTTATGAATGGACTGTAGGAGCTGCATCTGCGCCTTGATCCAAGAGGGTGGTGGCGCTCCTGCGGATGCGGAAAACTGGGCCTTCGGCCGAGAATTTTTGTTTTTAATATTCCGGGTCTGCATTCGCCACCAAGGTAAACCGGCATGGAGGTGGCCTGCGGGTGCGAAGGCTAGTTTGTGTGTTTCTGAACAATCAAGCGATTCCGAAGCGGATCCCGCGAATTATGATTATTTACAAGTATCTATATTCCGGAAAATATCGTACCTCTTCAAGGGAATGCTGTGCGTTCTCCCGGTGAATACGCTGCACTTCTGTCTCTGGCAAATTGGCTGGAACAGGGCTATGTGATGTTCAGTACAAGTAGGCATGAACTAAAAAATGTGTGGAGTCTTCCTCCGGTGTTTGTGCACGCGTGTGTGTGTGTGTGTGTGTATGTGTGTGTGTATGTGCGCGCGTGCGTGCGTGTGTGCGTGCGTGCGTGTGTGTGCATGTGTGGTACATGAGTGAGGTGTTAATACCCTTGACATACACTACTTAAGCTTGGATACTGAGCCAGTAATAAAATTAATGTCAAAAAGAGAGGAAACACATGAGAACGAGTTATGCAGCAACTATCCACGACTGTAACAAGATGAATAATAGTCAGAAAGTGCGATAATAGGGCACACTACAACACTGACAGACTACTGTTAGATTGTGCACATTTTCGCTGCACTCACCTTCCCCTCTTCGTTCCTACGTAACCATGAACCTTCCAAGTTGGAAGGCTGTTGGTTTGCCCACTGGAGGTGTGTTAGAGCTAGGTTTCAGGTCGTTGAATGTCTCAGTAGCCTGTCAGTGTTGTAGTGTGCCCTGTTATCGCACTGTCTGACTGTTTATCATCTTGTTACCGCCGTGGATAGTTGCTGCATATCTCGTTCTCATGTGTTTCTTCTCTTTTTTTACATACACTACTGTTCAACTGTTCTCCTTGCGAAGCACGGTACAGTGTACGAGTTTATCATGTATTGCAAGTTGCAACGTCGAAATGACTCAGGCCTTTAGTCATGTACCGATAACAATGAAAACACACACTTGAGAGGAGTCAAAAGCGTTTCTGCTGTAACTCTGAGTTTCACGGTTTTAACCGATCGTCAGACAGCAACTTGACTATAATTTTCAGAAGATATGATTGATATAGGCTGCAAGCTTGGATCATAGCGCGAATGAATGATCCGGGCTTGATAGTGTAATTATGAAAATGATTTGCGTGAGTGGGGTGATGGGGCGCAAAAGTAGACGCAAACAAAGAATACACTTTAGGCCTAGGCTCATGCAACCACATGTTCTTCTGAGGGAGGCAAGAAGAAGAACAATGGGGTAATTATGAGCAGCACCTCACCTGCGACTGTGAGTAGTGAAAAGGTTATGTGACGGCTGATGGTGAGAATTTTGAGAGGTAGTACTTATTTTCATGCCTGCACTTGCTAACTAGCTCCGATGTTTTGTTGATGTTGACACGCTTGTCCGCCTGAAGGATCTCCAGCTTCTCTCTTAGGCACAGAGGACAGCGCTTGGTTATGTTACTGTAACCTGGAGTCTGGTCGATAACTGACCAACCAAGACTGTACTCGCTATTTTGACGCTTCAGGTTCCAGACACACTTTGATAGTTCTGTGCTCTTCTCATGTGTCTCATTTCTGAATGGTGTTAGATGGTGGCCGTGTCTCTTCTTGAATGCTGGCTCCATAAGACTGATATACTCATTCTGTCTGTCCTTTCCGGTTACTTGGACGGTTGCCTTGTACACGATAGAGCTGATTTGGCAGTTGCCGTCCATCGGGCACTGCATTTTGTCTCTGCAGTTGTATCGTCTTCCCTTGGGCTGTCTGTCGTTGTTTCCACTCTTCCGTTTAACTGAGTTGTTGTGTGACTTGACCATTGCAGACATATTCGGCGTACAGCTATGGCTTACTGTAAAACCGGAAAGTCTAACAAGACACAAAGTCTAACGTTTTAACGACCAATTATTTTTCGTTATTTGAAGAAAAAAACGTTATCGCTAGATGTCTGTGTAAAGATGCGCATACAGATGGGTGGCCAGGGAGCCATCGTTAAACTTTCTGCATGCTATCATGCCAAAATTACAAAAAAATTAAACTTTTGGTCGTTAGACTTTCCGGTTTTACAGTACTCTAATTTCAGAAATTTTCGGTGCTCAGTTTTTTCGGTATGAGGGCAGAAGGCCAGGTTAGGTGAACAAGAAATTTTCGGTACAGAGAAGCAGCTCCCCATTGGATTATGTGTGTTAGTGTTTGTTCGGTGTATTGAAATTTTTGGTATGAAACAGACGCACCGAATGTACCGGAAATAAAAGTACACCGAAAATTTGTGAAATTACAGTACTTTAGCTGTATTCCGGTTGAAGATCGTGTGTAGTCTGGATCCGGCGGGGAAGTGTATTTTCGATTAGTCGCAGGAATCTCTGTCCGATGTTTGTGGCTACTGTCTTGCTGAAGGGCGGGTTATACAAGATGATATTCCGCCGCCTGTTTTGCGATTTCTTGCCTGAATCCTAGTGTCTCTCTTCCATGTACTCTAGTACTTCGGTATATCCACTGTTCCTAAGTGCGCTGTTGTAGCTGTATAGCTGTATAGCGGTGCGGAGTCTCTGAACGCGTCTTGGTTGGATGAAATATTGGTTAGCCGCCTGCTAATAGCTTTCGGTATTTGCTTGATTGTTGGTGGATGATTCAATTGGCTGTGGACATAGACCGGTGTATCGTTCGGTTTTCTATACGGACGATATGTTCCGTCTGCTAGGTTCAGCGTGACGTCCAGAAAATTCACAACCATCATACCAGTGTCGATGGTTAGTTGTAGTCCGAGGTTGTTGAATATCTTGCAGACTGTCTTCCTCATTTGGTCTGCTTCACTGCCTGCCACGTCTCGTAGCACTGCTAGACCGTCATCATGGTACAGTCCGACGTCACTGCTGCTGATTTTGTGTGCTACCTTGGACAGTGCATACGTCCCAACTAGCTCGCGTACTTTGGCACCGTCGAAACATCCCATTGTCACGTTGAATAGTCCTCTTCCGTTCTTCTTCATCCAAGTATTGTCTCCACTGAATAATAGCGACTTTCGCGGATGCAGGATGATGTCTCTGTCTTGTTTGCTAATACTGGTGTACTGTTCAGCAAACTCGATAGTGCGCAGAAGAAGATCTTCCGAAATGGACGGATAATATTCCACAATATCGAAACAGAAAAATGCACATTCCGGCTTCCTCTCGATGGCTTGGAACCAGTCAATCATTGCGTCTGTATTCTTCCAGGAGTTGATTGACAACGCTCCCTTACATCTCGGACAATTCCCGATAGTATCGTTTTGCTGACTCTTCCGATTTCGCTTTTGGAGGGGTCACGAGCAACCACAACTCCCTCCGAGTTATTAACGATAATACCATGTAGCAGTATACTGTGAAGATCTGCCTTATGTTCTTTGCTTTCTCTTTCTTTCTTCTCCCAGAATGGCTTCTGCCTGTATAACATGCGCTGGGTGAGGCAGCTGGATGCATACCGTAAGCACAGCATTGCAGACAAGCGTATTGGCCATGCCTATCAGCTAAACTCTAAACGTACTAGACAGGTTGCAGCAGCAGCTACAGATGCAGTTCCGCTGAAGGGGAAAGTCCCTCGTAACAGCGAGCTCACTTGGAAACCCCTAGAAGAGTACTTTACCAGCAAGTAAGTAATCCATTTAAAAATGTTTTATGTTTTCGCTGTGTATCGTATTTACCAACTGTAGGTCGACTCTGGTTACCGTAATGTTGCGTAGTACAGCCGGGCTTATTCCTGTAGAAGCCGTTGTCAGTGCCAGGCTTCTATTCACATCAGGCTTCTATTCAAACCAGGTATTTCTATGTGTGTCAACACTAAAACCAGGCGTATGTGCCGATAGTATAATTATCTTGAAAACAAGCTTGTATTCAAAACAGGCTTGTATTCAGAACAGGCTTCTACTCGAGATAGGCTTTAATACAAGACACTATGGTGTAAGCCGACCACCCCTCCTGATGCTTGAGGCCTCGATTACCCGGTCCAGTGGCGGTTAGATTTCGGTTGTAAGTCAACAGCCTGAAGCTGAATGCTTTCAATGCAGTTCTTCCTCACTTGCCTTGAACCCAGATCATCCGAATGCATGCACCTGCGCAGACCTGAGCCAGCATGCCACTGGGTTTGTTCTACTTCAACTACTGTAGCTGCAAAGCACAACTTCTTTGCCCTTTGATCTCTGGCTACATTGTATCAGTGAGCTAGCCAAATATCCGTGAAAGATAGGTAGCATAGCACTAGTCTACCGTGGGCCAAGAGATCTGCAACCTACGCATGCGCACTCTTGCATGTTTGGTTGTGTACTCTCGGTGATATCGACCACAGCCTGCATTTCAACTATTCTTTCTAAGTACGGGTCTCTCTCATTTTCTCTCTCGTTTCTGTCTCATTTCTCTCTCTCTCTCTCTCTCTCTCTCTCTCTCTCTCTCTCTCGCTCTCTCTCTCTCTCGCGCGCGCGCGCACACACACACACACACACACACACACACACACTCTCTCTCTCTCTTCTTTCCCTTCGCTCAGTGTGTCTCGACTGCGCAAGCTTGTAGAAGAGCGGCGTGCGAAAGAGGAGAAGAAGGGCAAGAAGAAACCGGTCAAGATCGGCGGATAGCACCCGGCAGTGCTGGCTGGAAGTCACCACGTACTTGAAGTACTATTCAAAGAACAGAACATTATCATCTTGCGTGACTCAGTGCTTGTCCACTGGTCGTCTCCTTGTGCAGCTCAAGAAGAGAAATGCTGTCCGAATGACGCCAGACATCTGCAGTCTGCTTTGCGTATGCATTTCATGCATGCACGGTCAATATGCAATCTGTTTGCGTTCTCTGTAGGATGTGAGTGTACCAGATCTGTCAGAATGAATGGATATTATAATTATACTACAGTGTAGTGATTGCTAGTGAGTATCTAGTACATGTGTATTGCTAATGGTTCTGCTATTGCCAGTCGATATCTAGCACATACACTGCATGCTATCATGTCAAGACAGCTGATACCAGTCAGTCTGCACATGTTTATCCAGTAGCAAGTGATGACATGGCATAGCCTATGTGTACAGTAGTGTATTGTTTCTCGCATGCTACCGGGTCACGCGTAATCTGCCATTTGTTGCCAACCGTCCGCCGTTCTGTAGAAGCGAGTGTTGTGTGCGTGTGTGCGCGTGTCAGGGACATGTAGCATCTAGCCTGGGGTAACTGCACATGCAAGACCTTATAGCATCTGAGACAATGCCAATGGTCACATTGTGGTGTTTGGCCCAGCATTGGGGTGTTCTCTGCCATCCCTACAGTCTATGCAACTCGCGACATGGAACGGTTTTCTTAACTTGTCTTGCCGCGATGCAAGTTTCTTCCTTCCCCATTATCATGATTACCTATCTTCCCCCTTCAGGCTTAGCATAGCATAGTGAAGCACTGTGCACAGGGAAAATGCACACCGTGCACTTATGGGTGTGCACATTATGCAAGAACGTCATTATCATTATGGATGCTCTCTAGCCGTCCCCGTGAGCTGCATAGGTGATATTATTATGTTGCTTGGCAACTGCTCGGTTTCTGGCTACATTCACACGCATACATGCATTCTCGTCGTTATCAGGTCCGGTTGTGCTGCTGGATTCCCGTGAAGCAGATTGCCAAGACAACCAGCCATACCATGAGAGTCAAATGATCAGATTTCTATCTGGGTTCGAGGTCCACGCACGGCGAGCCGTATCCTTGGTGAGCGGCTCGATGTTGACAGACAGGATTTTCTGTAATCACCTCCACTGGACGCCAGAATGCTATAAGTCAAAACCAGGTTGTAGGATGGTAGGGTGGGGATGGTGGCCTTCCACCTTCTGAACTAAACTATGGTCAAAAATTTCAGAATTCTTCCAGAAAAGAGCAAAAACTTTCCTTTTCTTCGTCGCCTTGGCTGTGCTGCACCAACTGGCCAAACTGGCTCAGCCATGCAGCAGTGCAATACATGAACACAACCTTGGACCATGCTACTAGTATACTGTAGGGAACAAAGAAGACAGTCAGTCAGTTTCAGTCAACAACAGTTCAGTCATACATCAGCCCATACTATGCAGAACAAGGCATTTCACGATTATGCATGCTTGCCCTGCAGGTCGGCCTGACATGTCACGTCGCTGAAAAAAGCCATGCAAAAAAGACAATGAACTCTGGATACGAACCAGCAAATATCTACACTTTCACCTACAACCCTACACACACACAAACATATCATCAACCACACGGCCATTAGTGCCACGCTGAGTAACATAAGCTAACAAGACATACAAGAACATGTTACACCAGCAGAGAGGATAAACAGTACCCAGACTCCAAACAACAGATAGTGAATCTCGCAGCCCAAGATTTTTGGCCATTAAAAATAATCAATGCTACCAGAGTGCTAAAACCTTGACTTGAGAAGAGGGGAGGGGGCAGTTGAATACAAATGAACTAACAAAACAAAGCTACAACATTAAGCCACACGGACCCCCCCCCCCCACACACACACACGTACACAGACAGACAGACAGACACACACACAGACAGACAGACACACAGATCTGCAGAACACGTCGACATAGGATAACATTGACAAGATGACCTTTATCTCCAAACCGAAATCTACAGGAAATGGAAAGAAACGGACAAGAGAACTGAAGAAAGAAACAGGAGGGACGAACGAGATCGAGAGAACAGAAGAAGGGAGATGACAACAAGAGATTAGAATGATGTTTCAGCAACGAGAACCAGAAATCGCTGAAAATCATTCACACACAAAAAACCCCAGAGCTAGCTAAAACAAAATTCGACAGAACAGAGCACGGCAAAAACAAGAGACGTGGTGACATCTGCCCCCAGCTGTCGACATCTTGAAGAAAACAAACGACTAAAATTCAAACAGTTAGTAAGCCTCAAATCGGATACAACTCTCAAAAGCTAACAATGTGAAGAAGAAAAAACTTTTAAAAACCAATATCATAATCTACATACCGCAAGAGTATAATAAAACATTGTCCAAAGTAGCCGCTACTCATTTCGTAAATAGGACAGCGAAGGGAAGGCGGAGGGGAAAGGAGGGAGGGGGGGGGGGGCTTGCGCAGCCAGGACACAATCTCTACTTTGGCACCACAGAGGCAGCGCAAAGCTCGTGATAAAAAACACACACACACACACGCGCACGCACGCACACAGCCGTTGGTAAAGAAGACAAACATGCAAACAAGAGACAGCCTAGGTAAAGAAAGACAAACAAGAGACAGCCTAGGTAAAGAGTAATGTTACTATTATAGGTGCAATGGAAACAATCCGCCAGAGGGAATGTTGGGTGGCGGCGGCGGGGTGAACAGGTAGCCATCTGAACACACATGCGTGTGTCAGAAGCAGGACAACGGTGCACCAGATCATTATTATCATTTATCTCACAGCCTATTTCACACACCTCCAGCCAAAGAGGCACACACACGTCACACACCAGATATTGTGCAGCTACAGTTTACAAAAAGTGTGTATGGCAAGAGCTGAGCGCTACGAAGACGGTGAGTCACTAAGTAAGTCTCGTTCACTGCGCGGTCACCGATGACGAAATACAAAACAGCTGCCAGGCTTGAGCAGGACATCAGCAGATGAGCACTACCAAGCAAGTATCAGTAAAGAAGTCTGGTGTCCTGCTTGGTTCCCGATGATGGGATACAAAAAACAACTGCTCCCAGAGTTCAGCGGCGACCTGACGTTGTGCTAAAGTGAAAATGTTTACAGAGCGCCAGGCGATGACGGTGAAAACGGATCCGATGCAGCAGGGCAGAAATCGCGCAGAAATTACGCCAATAGATGGCCGAGTGTTGTATGTGTGTATGTTGCAGTGCTGCTAGATGCAGTGGCAAGTTGCCGATCAAAGAGACGACATGGCCTGCTAAAGGCCACAGAATCAACGCTAGGACGGGCTGCACGGGTTCAAGCATCAGTGCCGTGCAGTACAATAGAACAGTGGGGCTACGGAGAAGGACAACGGCAAGCAGCAGGCAAACATGCACACAGCATATCACTATGTGTCGATGGACATCTGCTTGCCGGCGTGTAGCTGGGGAACAGCACTGCGAGCACGGGTGTTGGCACCGGCAGGTAATATAGATGTAGTGGCGGTGGCTGAACGAGCTCGGTGTGCAGTGGATGCAGTATTCTTGAAACGTCCGGACGTGATCAAGTCGCCGAAGCCCGGTGTGTACGAGAACGAGTAGCCGGAGCGCATCTCACTGCGCAGACCGTGCTCACCAGCCGTTACTGACTCCACTGCATTGGGAGCACAGAGTACCAGATATTGCAAGTACACATACACGCACGCACATACACGCGCGTGTACACACACACACACACACACACAGACACAAGAAACTTGCAAACTTGTAATAGTCGAATCTCGCAATGGTGGTGAAGCCCAGGCAAAGACTAATGGACAAGACTAATGGACAAGACGAGAGAGAGAGAGAGAGAGAGAGAGAGAGAGAGAGAGAGAGAGAGAGAGAGAGAGAGAGAGTGTGTGTGTGTGTCCAAACTGTTGGAAGGCTACCTTCTTGCCAAAGCTTTTGGAAGTTGGACTAGTTTGGGCACCACAATCCAGTGTGTCGTTACTATAATAATAGCTTTCATGGCTGAGGTTGTTGGTATGTCTGCTGGCTCTGGGTTCCCACTTAGTAGCCGAGGCTGGTTGGTAAAGTAACTCCAATTTCACTTCAAGGTTCCAGTGCATCTAGTGTCTGCTTCTATCAAAGCAGCGTGCTGTCTACACTGGTTACCCCAGCAAGTGTAGGGTGTGCGTAGGTATCTGTCTTGGCCGTTTTATGCCGATGTACTCTGTGTGGTGTAGACCAGGTGTACATTGGTGGTGGATTCACATGGCTTCGCCAGTTGTGTGGATTAGACAGTTATCTGGCGCAAGTCTTGATCTGTCTCATTCAGATCTAGTTCGCTATCGTTGCTATGAGAGAAAATCTGTGGGTACACATCCAGTGCATTTGCAGATTTGCGTGCTTCTCTTGCGACGGGCGTATACATGGTACATGGTGTGTGTGTGTGCATGCGAAGAAGGAGAGAGGCCTAGAAAAGCCTTTGATAAAAGCTGAAATCACCAATACAACACCGCAGAACAAGACAACAAACCACGTACCACGTGTTCCCGTGGCCAAGCGCACACGATGGGCAGCGTTCTTCGCCGCATCCTTCCGCCGATCAATGGTGGCCTGGTCCAGACCAGACGCTGCACCCGATGTGGACATGGACGTCACTGCCTCCATCTCCGGCATGTTCAGCTCAGGTGTCTTGCCTCGCGTAGACGCACCGGCGATGGAGGGCTCCTTTTCTGCCTCCTCCTCCTCGTCTTGTTCGGTTTGCGGAGTAGACAGCTGGCCACGAATGGTGTCTACGAGCAGTGGCTTGATCGTGGCTGACATGAATCTAACAAGTACACAAGCAACACACAGACACAGAGATGTCACCGTGAAACGTGTACTCAAGGTGCCGTGACATGGCGTCTAGAATGGACCAGTGATCATTCGGCGATTGGGGAGACAGTCTTCTTAACCCGACCTGACGGTATTTGAGCCTGCAATCAAAGTGCGTCAACAGCACCTGGCATGCAATTCCCACCATCGGGTGATACTTTAAAAACAATCATCATTGTCCGACGATTGCCTCCACATGAAACTTGCATGTCACAGCCAATTCCAATGAGTTATCTCTGTCTGTCTGTCTGCCCATCTGTCCCTCTTTTTCTTATGTGAACAAGCTCTCTGCTTTGAGCACTTTCTGGCAGTTTGCCACAACGCACGTAATAAACATGTGATCAAACACGCAACTCTGCTCGCCGGTGGTGGTGGTGGCTCACCTCAACGCCAGCACTGGTAGCAGTGCAATAGCGCAGGCCAGCGGGATGAGGAACCAGAAGGCGGCATTGCGGAACAGGTGGATGGCCGCGCCGGGGTCGTTGAGGAACTTGGCACCTGCTTTGTAGAGCGGGCCGGCGTAGACAAGGAAAGCGTAGGCAAACCAGAGAGCAATGCTTCCCCAAGTCACTAAGTGATTGAACACTGTCCAATGGTACGTATCCAGAGCAATCTACAAATGCACATAACACAGCAGAAAAGACAAGAATTTAGTGCAAAGAACACAGAAAAGAGAAGAATTTAGTGCATAAAACAACACAAAAAAGAGAAGAATTTAGTTCATACAACAACGAAACGAATTTAGTGCGTCCAGCACAGAAAGGATGCGAATTTAAAAGTAAATATTTTAGCACAAACGACACAAGAATGTAGTGCACACAATACAGAGAAGACTGTGTGACTAATATCAGGGCCGGCGACCGAAACCAGAGTCCTACATGATATACTTACACCGCATCATTCGGAGTGCGCACAAATGCACAATGATGTCACCCACTCAAAAATCCTAATATGAAGCACACCAAGTGGGGGGACACTGTACCCCAGCCTCCTCAGATCATCCACTGACCAAGACTGTAATAGGTTCTGAATGAGCAGCTGGATGCAGCTAACGATGTTCGTCCCTTGTCGGGCATCGGTTGTGAGAGTTACCACCTCACCCTCGCCTTTAGGCACTGCATCTGCCATCCTGGTATCACAGGCATGGTGGTGGCCTGGCACAAGCGAAACTTCCTAGCTGGTTGTGTTTCTCAACGCAATCGTATAGCCGGTGGTAAAGCGGACTTGCGAACTTACTTTTTTTTTTAATGACCAGTTCACAAAGAAAGCAGACGAGAGGCAAGTGACTTCATTCTCACAAGTTCTCACCTGCAGGTTGACGATAATGACCAAAATGCCACTGCCGCAGGCTCCAATGTAAAAGAGACTGGCTGCATCCAAACCATCAGAGTCAATGCCTTCTTCAAACGCCGCGTATATGGTGAAGAATATGACGATGGACACATAGATACCTTTCAAGATGCCGATGACAAACGTTTTCCGATTGAACAGTAAATTCTGCTGCCCGGGAATGTAGAGACGTGGGTGTTTCAGACACAGCTTGTCGTCGACATCCTGGGGAGAGAGAGAGAGAGAGAGAGAGAGAGAGAGAGAGAGAGAGAGAGAGAGAGAGAGAGAGAGAGAGAGAGAGATGACCATCAAGGAAAGAACAAAATAGGCTTCATCTACGACAACTGCTACCCCAATGACTGGAATAGAAAGAGAGCGCCTACAATGTAGCGTTGATACATTATATGCGGCACAGAAGTTACAAGCTAAAGTTTCCCCGAGCGTTTCAACGAGGTCACACAGCAACTAGAGCAGTGAAGCGCAGTGAAACCATGCGACTTACTTGATCAAACACACCAACAATGATGATAGGTAGCGAGGAGAATATAACGTTGTAGACAGTGATGAACCATGGGTCAAAGTAGGCCTGCACACAACACACAACACAGGCAATGGCAACAATAGAATCGCGATCAACAATTATTGCCTGGAAAACAAGCCAAGCAGCCAGAGAGGAACGCTTGATACAGTCTGTGCGTGCGCCCCCACCCCTCTGCTGCATACGCATGCTAACACATACTCATGCTGCATCTTACACACTCGTGGTGCCTCGCACACATCCACGGTGCCTCTCACACACATGCTGCCTCTTACACACTCATGCTGCCTCTCACACACTCATGCTGCCTCGCACACACGCATGCATTCAACTGGGCGCGGACCAACAACCACACAGAACGGCACACAAGCGGCTATAACAATCACAATTCAATACACCAAAGAGCAGCAGTCACCAGCTCAAGACAACCGTATGAAGACAAGCTGCAGTCACCAGCTCAAGACAACAGTATGAAGACAAGCAGCAGTCACCAGCTCAAGACAACAATGCAAAGACAATCAGCTACCAACACTTACTTGGGCAGTGAATGCACAAAAGAAAGCGAACCAGAACTGGACCAGGACGAATGCAAAGTTCTTGTAGAAGAAGTAGCCGAGAAACTTGGACATGCGCATGTACGACCAGCGTCCGTGCACAAGCAGCAAGCGTTGAAGATAACTGTGGGTACAGAACGCATACAGAGTACAGACACATGAACATACTGTTACTCGAACAACCCAACCACACCCAGACACATGAGATCTCCCCTCTGATCCAAAGCCCAAACGTTTTAAAAGAAGGTTTGCAGCAGTATCAGCCACTACAACACAGTGTTATCACAACCACTCACCAAAAGTGCATCTTAGAACAAATCATTCGTTTTTAGAGGACCACTAGAGAATAAGTAAGTAAAGTTCGCACGTCCACGTTACAACCGGCTATACAATTGTGATGAGAAACACAACCAGCTTAGGAAGTTTCGCTTGTGCCAGGCCGCCACCATGCCTGTACATGGTGGCAGATGCAGCGCCTAACGGCGAGGGTGAGGTGGTAACTCTCACAACCAATGCAAGGGGCGAACCTCGTTAGCTGCATCCATGAACCTTTTTACTACTAGAGAATAGCATATATTGCGATAACTAACACACGACTGGGATGCCAGAACCACAGTAAAGTTCAAAAATGGAGGTAGCGGCTTTGGCGAGAATAAACGAATTGTGTGTTGCTCCCTACAACTTGACTGACTCACAACTACCATCCAGAGCACACAAGAAGTTCATCGAACCTGATGGTAAGGTTATCGAGCATACACATTTCCTTCAGCTGTTGGGTGCAACTTTACTTGTCTTGCCCCCCCCCCCCCACACAATCACAGTTCGCATTATACACAGCTAGACTGAGTTTTTCCGCATTCGGAGGAACGCCCCCACCCACAAGGATCATGGCGCAAATACAGATGGTAAAGTGGTGGGAGGCGAGTAGATCAGACCCACCACCGAAGTGGTCCAAGACTGATAATCACATTTGCCGCTCCCAAACACAGAACGTATTACTAAACATACCCAGAGAGAAACATCTATGGTTTATTACGGAGAGTTAGCACTAGTTACTACCAGCACCGCAGTAAACCAGGCAAGTCTTACCTGAACTGAGCAAAGGAGTAGTCACTGGCTAAGACAGCTTGCATGCCTTCCTGACCACTGATACCCACACCAATATGAGCAGCTGTCAACACACACAAACATATGCATGCACACACGAACACACACACACACACACACACACACACATACACACACACACACACAACCAACAACACCAACGAAGACAGGAACTGAAAAATCAACATCACCAGGGATAACATCGCAACAATGAGAGTATTAAACAATGACTTCAATGACAGTAAGAACGGTAACATCAGCTTCAATATCAGCATCAGCAGCAGCATCAGCAGCAGCATCAGCAGCAGCAACACCAGCATCAGCATCAGCAGCAGCAACACCAGCATCAGCAGCAACGTAAAGAACAACTGCAGCAATGAGAGGAAAATCGCACACACAAAGCATACTACACAGGTGTCCTTCATAGACGGACCATAAGATCACTTCAGTAAGCCTACACCCTACCAGTGCATTGACAAAGGACAATGGAAACAAGAACAGCTGGCAAGAATCATGTAACTTATAACCTACCCTTTATCATTCCAACATCATTTGCACCATCACCGATAGCCAGAGTGACCGCCTTGCGATTGTCCTTGACTAAAGTTACCACATCAGCCTAGAGCAACAAACAAATAAACAAACAAACAAACAAACACACACACAAACAACAACAACAACAACAACAACAACAACAACAACAACAACAACAACAACAACAACAACAACAACAACAACAACAACAACAACAACAACAAACAAACAACGACAACCACAAAACCATCGTAAGAATTGAAACAGCAACAGCACAAAATTCGAAATTGGGATATTTCGGACGAGCAAAAGTGGATGCTTCCCCATCATTTGTACACCTTTCTATAAGTATACAGTGGTCCCTCTATAATCCGGCACCATTTGTGCCACGGAAATTTGCTGGATTAGGGAGGGTGCTGGATTAACAAATCTGATCTACTGCTGCAATGTGCATGAAGAGGACATTTGGCTACTGAAAATTGTGCTGGTTTATCGAGGGTGCTGGATTATAAAGTGCCGGATTAGAGAGGGACGACTGTAGTTGCACAGCTATCAGTGATCTCTGCATGCCATTCCATAACAACGCGCTCTCGGCCGACCCACTCACTCCACTTGCAGAGCACGACCACAGAGAGTGGTGAGGGGAATTCCCTTGAGATTCCCTTGAGACAATGGTACAGTGGAACCGGTCTAAGACGACCACCGCTTATGGGACCTTCAAAACGTGGTCTCCGTTACCAGGTGGTCTCCTTATACAGGGTCATTTGACTTGAAATAGCATCCCTTGGTCCTGGTTTCAGAGGTCTTCTAGGACAGGTGGTCGCCTTATCAGAGTGGTGGCCTTGACAGGTTTTACTGAATCGTCAGACCCTCCAGACAGCAGCTGCTTCACTCCAATAGAGCCCATCAATACAGGAACTAGATAGTGAATTCGAGGTACAGGAATGGAATGGAATGGTATTTGCTACGATGGTGCTGGGCAAGTGAAGATGGTCAGCTGAGAGCGCGTCGTGGAGTGGTGAAGTTCACTGATTATTTCCCAGTGACCGAGGTTGTAATTCGTTCTTATCGTATAGACTAGACAAGGGTGCTGTGTGTGTGTGTGTGAACGTGTGTGTGTGTGCGTGCATGTGTGTACACGTGTGCACGTGTATGTGCATGTATGCATTGGTACCTTTTGCAGCGGAGTAACACGACAGCAGATGACAGCGCGGCACAGGACAGCCGTGTTCAAGAAGAGTTGCTTCAAAACCGTACCCAGGGCTGGTGCCTGGAGAAACACACACACACACACACACACACAAACGGCAGTGCAATACACAATACGATTGAGAGCCAGTAGGATACTGTAATTTCACAAATTTTCGGCGTACTTTTATTTTCGGCACTTTCGGTGCATCAGTTTCATACCTAAAATTTCAATACACGGAACGAACAACAACGCACATAATCCAATGGGGAACTGCTTCTCTGCACCTAAAATTTCTGTTCACCTGGCCTTTTGCCCTCATACCGAAAATATTGAGCACCGAGAATTTCTGACATTAGAGCAACAGTCAGGGCAGCGTATAGCGCTATGAAGCTGCAGGAAGCATCCAAGCAAATGTCAACATAAAAGAAATGTAACAGGGCCTGGTGGTGAAGAGGAATTTTGCGCGAGACACAACACATGGGGAAGAGTTTTTTTTTTTTTTTAATTTAAAGTAAGCCTGCAAGGATCATCATCACTATGCAACACTCACCAAGCTGTAACCATTGATGACGATACCAAACTTAGGTTTGCGCTCGGCGTCAGCTGGATCCTGTTAAACACATGCACGCACACATGCACACACACACACACACGCGCGCGCGCGCACGCACACACACACATGCATCGAGAACAGACAGCGTTACACAATGCTGATACGAAAGGAGCACAGAACGACTGCATTGTGTACCAATCTAAAAGACAGAAAAAACAGCCTGCATTGCAAGCGAGACATTGATTTTTGGAAATAACACAATTTTCAAGCACATGCAAGACAGCCAAATAGGCAACAAGGTCGTCTATAACTGTCCTTACCTCAAAAGGATCTTCCTTCTCCAAGCTGCAGTTGTGAGCTTGTTCGTAGTCTGATCTGGCCTCGTCAATGCGTCGCTTGATGTGAGTAAGCGAGGAACAGACGGCTTCTTCTGTTCGCCCGTCGACAAGGAACACTTGCATGTCTGGTGTTAGTAGTCTGGCTGAGTAGCCTAGAACAGTAACAACAACAACAACAACAACAACGTGAGAATAAAGAATTCAAACACACACACACATACACACACACACACACACACACATTCAAAAGACATTAGACACTCAGATCTCTGACCACTGCTGAGCACGAGCTGACTACTGTCCATTCATCTAAAAATAGTGCTGCTGGCGTTAGAAAGCTCGATTATAGGTCAGCGTGCCAGTCGTGTACGTACCAATGTTGATAGCTGTTTCATCCTTGTCACCGGTCAGAACCCAAATCTTCATGTTGGCGCGAGCCAGGTTGGCGATTGTGTCGGGTACGCCGTCCTGAAGCTTGTCTTCGATGGCCGACGCACCGATGAGTGTCATGTCCCTCTCCACCATCTCATACACCTGTACACGAACAGCAGAATTCAACACTACAGTGGTCCCTTCATGATCCGGCACCATAGCTGCTAGGGAAATTGTGCTGGATTAGAGAGGGTGCTAGATTAACAAATCTGATTAACTGCTGCAATGTGCATGAAGAGGACATTTTGGCTACCGATTATCGGGCTGGCTTATAGAGGGTGCTGGATTAACCCTTTGGAACTGCACTGATCACACGACGTCAGGAGATAGCTGCAATTGCAAGTATATTCGTTCCAATTTCCATCATAACGCTGGTTCTACTTCACCGATTCTGACGATCTTGGGCTCGTTGGAAAGCTCTTGGAACGAGGATAACAGCGAGCCCAAACTCATCCAGGAGAGCGATTGCTGTCTGCTACCGAATGCCAGGAACGCCAGCTGAATACCAAATCCAAAACGGGAATAGTCCTTGTCTCGCCATTTCACTCGTGCTAGCTCAAAATCATTCAAATTTTTTCTAACAGACTCAAAAAAGCCGTGACAAAAAGCGCTGGGAGTGATGTCACACGCTGCGTGGGCAGGAAGAGGGAAAATCCCACTTTTGAACGAAATTTGCACTTCGCCGACGCATGAGAAATCGAGCGAATGTTCGAGCACTTGTCGCTCTGTTATACCAGCTCGTATCGACTCCGGAGTTTTTCGAGCCGACAGCTTAGATTCTCTGCTACCTCGTAGGTATTTCGATTGTTGAATTCGGTTGAGATTTGACTGAGTTGTGACTCGTTGAGTGCACTTGCACACATGACACTGGCATCGTTCGAATTCGAACGATGAGCTCCAAAGGGTTAAAGAGGGTCGACTGTATTACAAAGTGGCGAGGTTTCCGTAGCGAGATCTACACACTCAAACATGGCCAGAGTTATAGGCCTTTCACATGACGGTACGTGCTCACGATCGCACGCTCCTATGGTGTTACGATGTGCGGCACGACACGTCACACGACGACTAGCTCTGCCGACACGGCGCACACACACACAAATCAGTACAGTTAACGGGAAAACAAAATCGGAAACACACAAACCGGGGCCAGGTGTCGCGAACAGGGCTACCGGTCTGTGGAGTCAGATTTCAAATCAATCGATGATCACCTTGGTGACCTTGGTGATCCTCACGCGAGGCCGAGGAGACGTGACTTTTTCTAGTCGTGTGAAAGGTTTATTAGAGCAGGGATTATACTGACACACAGATCGACATGGCCAGCTTTACTCTATTTATACGAAAGCATCAGTTGATGTGTTTTCATCTCAGCCAACTCAACCAACATGAACTAGTAAGTTAAACAGAACAACAAGGCACAATTTCTCAAAATGCGAAGACTCCACTGTAGCCATCCACTGTATCCATACATCTTCAAAACACTCTCCAAACGGTCTCTGCTCTACATCAATCACTAAAAGAAAAAGAGAGATACTAAATCAATTGAATTTTCGAGCAAGGCCCATCTTCAGGAATTTTTTTCATTTCTGAAGACGGTACAAGAGTACTGAGACATTCGACGTCCTGACACCTAGCTTCAACACTAGCTAGGTGTCAGGACATTGAATGTCTCAGTACTCTGTCAGTTTTGTGCCTAGTTGTTTCACTTTCTGACTGTATAAAGTATCTGGTTACAGTGATGGAGAGTTACTCTTAACTCGTTTCCATATGTCCTTTTCCTTTCTACACTTATTATTGGCTCAACATCCGACTTTCTTTTTCTTTTAGTGATTGGTGTAGACCAGAGACCGTTTGGAGTGTCGTGAAGATAATTATATGGATAACAAGGCACAAGGCTAATTTGTACACTTGTGCTCGGTGAAATCCGACCTACAGTACATATTTGGCACCCTCAACTAGCATGCCCCGGACGCCCTGGCAGTGGCACGAATGTGGCTGTACGTACACATGTACAAATACAATGATGTAATCGGAACTAGTCCAGGACGCCAGCTTTGTATTTCAGGTTGGATTTCACCGAGGGCAACTGTAGCATCCTATGGTGAAGTGACAGGTTCATGGATGCCACCCTACCTCAGACAGTTTCTCGTCACGGTCTTCAAGGGAAGTACTGAACAAGTAGAAAACAAACAAAGAAAAATAAGATTGGGTTAGCAGAAAGTGGATGTGTGAGAGAGTGAGTGAGTGAGTGAGTGAGTGAGTGAGAGAGAGAGAGAGAGAGAGAGAGAGAGAGAGAGAGAGAGAGAGAGAGAGAGAGAGAGAGAAAGAGAGAGAGAGAGAGAGAGAGAAAGAGAGAGAGAGAGAGAGAGAGAGAGTGAGAGAGAGAGAGTGAGAGAGAGAGCAGAGTTGACAGAATAGAACCAACCGGCTTACTTTGCTTGATGATGTCTGTCGCTCCAATCGTCCCATTCTTGGGTGGTCATGTCACGGTATGCAATACACAGAGTGCGCAACCCATCCTTGGCAAATACCTACAGACAGAGACAACAGCAGCCGCATGCATGTATGATACAGACAACAGGACAAGGCCTAAGCTCGGGTATTGGAACATTGCTGCCCTACTGTCGCGCCCTGACTGAGATGGCCAGTCTGTCCCTCACTTCGGTCAGACTACACCTACTGAAACTTGCGAGTTACTCAGAGAAGAGTGTGAGAACCTCAAAGCACTGCCAGCTACTCGAGCACAATTTGGCTATAACGTGCTGCAGGCATAACATTGCACTAACAGCAGTAAAGGGAATAGAAACGCCAGCAGCAAAAAAACAAAAAACAAAAAACAAACAAACAAAAAACAGCAGCAACAGCAGCAACAGAAGCAACAGCAACAGAAGCAGAAACAGCAGCAGCAGCAATAGAAGCAGCAACAGAAGCAGCAGCAGCAACAGCAACAGAAGCAGAAACAGCAGCAGCAGAAGCAGCAACACAAGGAAGACCTACGTTCAAATGGTTCTGCGTCTTCTCAGCCATTTCGCTGCACTCCGGCGAGAGGCGCTCAAAGATGACGTTATCTACAACACACGCCATTGCACAACCAACACCACTGTACCGTCGTTATCCATGGTTCAAGGTGTGGACAGAATGTGAAGACAGGCATGTGCTGAGGAAATATGCACACACTGCACAGACCTGACACATGCAGAGTAAAACCTGGCCTAACCGGACACCCTTGGTACAGCGGAAACTGTCCTCATACGACAGGATTCCGCTTGATCCAGGGATGCACAATCGCTCCATAGCACTTTGGTGCATGGACATTTGTCCGGTCAATACAGGAATCCGCTTGGTGCAGGGTCCGGCAAACACAGGTTTTTAGTACGGTTTGCTGTACATGCATGTGCAGTGTGTTATGAAGAAGCAAGAAAGAGGAATAGCAGACACAAGCATGCAAGAAGGTGAATGCGTCCGTGACAAGGAAAAGTGGTCGCCATGGTCGAGTGGTCGCCATTACAGGTTTTACTGTATTACAGTGCACACACATGTAGCTAGTTGCACTCACCAGCACCCTTGCAGAGTAGCTGTACTTTGCCGTTGGGGTCACGCACGATAACCTGAAATGCAAACAGAATAAATACACATACACATACACGTGCACGCACGCGTACACACACACACACACACACATGAGCATTGGTGTTGCTTTCGGCACGTGGGTCGGATTTCTGGAAATAACGGCGCTGTTTGACAGTCGGCTACACTGCTGATACATGTACATCAAAGTGTCACAGTAGCAAATCAATTCCAGGATCGGACTCATTCGTAAGCAACACACAACGTACCGACATTCTCTTGCGCACGTTGTTGAAGTCGAGAATAGCAAGCACATCGTACACGACCTGCACAGTGGAAGGAAAGATCAAGTGGACAGTGACACACCAGTATTACTCAGCTGTGAAGTCAATAGTATACATGTTGTAAAAGTAAAGTTCATACGTTCACGTTACCACCTGCTATACAACTGAGCTGACCCCCAGCCCCGCAGTTTTGTAGTATTCTATTGCCGTGAACCAGTAGCAAATTGATCCCCCCCCCCCCCCCCCCCCGGCTGTAGTTTTCACTATGTTCAGTGCAGTCTGAGCGTGTGCACCTTGAGTGGTGGACACGGGCACTCAGCCACTCCTGGTGGTTACAGAATTACTGGAATCGTTTGGGTTGCACAGCTCACATTACTGAGCGCAACGTACTTATCGCAAGCAGAAAGCCCCCACCAGCCATGTTACGTTGATGGAGATTTACTGCTAGGAATTATCTGTATTGTCCGTGCAAATCAGGTGAAAGAGAAATACCACACATACCATCTCTCCAAATTCATCTATCGTCACGGATGTTGTTGTACGTTCCTGAGCAAAAAGAAATAAACAACGAACACGGAATGCGCGTTAGTTGAAAAGCCAAAAAAAACACGGATGTTTGTAGTACAGATTCACAACTGCAAACAAACTGCGCATGTATCATCATCTCCATGATGGTGCACTCTACAACGGTTCTTAGAGCAAAAAGATGACAAGAGAGAAAAGCAAGGGTTGTGGTACACCATAGCAAGGTGTATGTCACCTAGAATCCCCCCCCCCCCCTTGCAAAGGAAAGCAACAGAAAGGAGATGTATGACACTCACCACAAAAGTCAGACCAAAGTTACGGGCAGCGGAAACCAGCGCTGCTTCGTCAGGGGACTGAGCTTGATAGACGAGAGTACCTACCGACAGAGGTAGCATGCACACGAGCATCAAAATACGACACACACACACACACACGCAGCACGCGCGCGCGCACACACACACACACACACACACAGCGTACACACACATACACATGGACACACACACGCACACACACACACACACACATCCACACACACACACACATACACACACAACCATGGTAAACAAAAGCTATCTAGCTAGGAAAAAACTCCGAGAACAAACTACTTCCCCACAATGGTCCATATGCACAATGATCACAGATCTCAAAAGTTCTAGTGGTCAAACGAATGTGCTAAACAGCGAATCGAACCTTCTCTGAATGTTCCTAACGAATACCGAACGAATGTCGCCCGTTCCATGATTAAGAAGTCAGTAAAAAATTATAGCTACCAACCAGTATGTAACACTAAAACTTTTGTAAAATGCACCCAAATCATAAGTGAAGTATCACACTGCAAGTCTGCAACAGAGACTGTAGATGCCATGACTCATTTATGAAGTAGACAGTGATGGTAATGTACCCCTCCGTTCGTCTGCTTGTCCACGGGTCTGTAGTCAGCGCCATGGAGCTGGCCTTTTCAAGGTTCTCCACCTAACCACTGCACCAGCAACTTCAGGCCCGCGACGTGCTTCCGCTGAATTAGCTTTGTCACTTGAGTCGCAGGTAGCCAGGCTTGGGGTAGTTCATGAGCGAAAGGAACCCCCGCACCAGTGACTACGCTCACAGGCCGAAGATCTCTGCACACAAATTCCACCAATCGGTCGTCGCATCCAGAGCCTCAGAGGATCTAGCCACTGGCACTTTCTTTGCCTTGAAGAAGGCAGTTATCCCTCCGTCCTTTTTCGGTATCGCCCCTGTGCCATCCAAGTCGACATGGTGAACGTCCTTCAGATGGTTACGTAAATTCGTTTCCGCCATGATCTGCCAAGTCTTTCGGCGGCTTGCACCGAGTACACGTAGCAATATTGTCGTGAGAATATCGATAATATTGTCAGCCGTTATCTCTATTCCAAAATCCCATACGGCAGAGCGCCTACTCTTCTCGGCCATGACGAACGTTGGGTGGATTTGATGAAGAAAGACTCAACGACGGCTCTCAGCAATAGTTATTACCTCAGACAGACCGTCGAGTGTTGTCACGACTAAAATCGCCTGTGGCACTGCACTTCCAGTTTCACAGCCGGGCGCAGTGCACGCATGCAACGTTCAACCCAGACTAGAGTTCACTGCGCAGGCTAGACCTACCGTAGTCTCTGGTCATGAAGACAGCGCGGCACGGCTTCAAAAGTAGACGTGTGTACGTGCTTGCATGCATGAAAATCGCTGCTACAAGTGCAGAGTTCACAGTTTTGTGAGTTACGAGATTCGTTTGGGCGGTCAACTTGACATTCGAATGTCGACTCGAGAACGAACGTTCGAAGCTTCTCAGCATTCGTTTGACCACTACTCAAAACCATAATCTAGACCATCAAACCCTACAAACAGAATGCAGCGTGCAAGAACCAACACAACAGCCCTTACCATCTTCTATCTCCGACATGACGGAGTGGCATACGCTGAGTAGGTGAAAGAATTCAAACTCTTTCTGCACACGATACCAACAACACAAACACACAAAGCACAGAGGAAGATCACACCAAAATGAATACAAGCACCGGTATATCAAGATACAGCCGAGCTAACTACTTCGAAGTAGCAATACACGACCATCAGCGTATACAAACGTATCCCAGAACCAACGCTATCGCTGCCACTTCAGCCCTCGGCAGTACTGTGTATAGATTTGGTGACTTATTCCACACGTACAGTCAGACCTCGATTATCCGGTCCTCGTTTATCCGGATCCCTCGCCATCCGGAAGAAAATCGTTGGTTACCGATTTACAGCAGTTGCAGTGCATACACAGTGTGTGTGTTCGATTATCCGGTTCCCTCGCCTATTCGGAATTTTTCGTGGAAAACGGATGTGTGCGGTTATGCGAGGTCTGACTGTATAGCAATCATACTGCACATCAGGGTACCAGTAAGTGTTTGTCTGCAGTTTTGCGGCACAAGCGTGCAAACGTCAACACACACACACACACACACGCATGTCAGCGTGCGGGAGCACATACCGAAGTCTTCTCCTTGGCAGCGTTCAGCAGCTCACGATCGTAATGAGAGAAGGTCGGCTCGCCGTAGGGATTCTCTTTGGGGAAATCGATCGGCTCTGACGGCTGCAAACAGACCAGTGGTGACAACAGGAGTAAAATAGAGGCAAGGCTTAGCTAAACACTGGCGCAAGACTAGTCGATCGCCTGAGACATACTTGTACCTAGCTGACAGCACTAGCATATTGACACAAGAACACCAGTAGCTGCAATCAGCCACAGCAGCAACCGGTGCAAAATGTTCAGATGCTGCTCCACATACGGACCGAAGTAGCCAGGAGTACTGGCACTGCTATCAGCCGTGTGCCGCATTATGGCAAATTTCGTTCTCAGATAAGACTATAGCTCAGGGGTCATCCACATAATATCAATTTTTCAGAGAACATATCGATTTGGTCAGGAGAAGGGTGTGTGTGTGGGGGGGGGGGGGGGGGGGGGGGGGGGTTCTTGTAACAACACTTCCACACAGATAGAAGCACACTCTGCTTCTTTTAAAGAAAACCTTCACTTCTAAAATGAGGTGGCAACAGTTTTAAAAGCTCAGTAACTGAACTCAGAGCACCTTCATGTGAGAAGAGCCGTGAGGTTGCTCCGGTAAGGACACGGCACCACCATCGGGTACCATGGACGCAGCGGGGCTGTAAGGCTCAGCCGGCATTACGTCGTGCTCATGGGTATCGCCAACGCTGTTCGGTAGATTGACAGGGTCCTGGCCAGTGGCACCGTACGTGGGAGGTTTAGCCCCTGACACGTCCATAGTGAAGCGAAAGTGCTCGCTGTCGGAGTCCGACTTGGCGCTGGTAGCGCTGGCAGCGGCGGCAGATGGTGGCTGTGACATTACCCAGATAGATAGATGGATGGATGGATGGGTGGATGGATAGATAGAGAGAGCGAGAGAGAGAGAGAGAGAGAGAGTGTGTGTGTGTGTGAGAGAGAGAGAGAGAGAGAGAGAGAGAGAGAGAGAGAGAGAGAGAGAGAGAGAGAGAGAGAGAGAGAGAGAGAGAGAGAGAGAGTGGCATTCGGAGAAGACAACAGCGGCAGAGTGGCAAGGCATGAACGAAAGGACAGGACAGGACATGGCAGAACAAGAGCAAGACACGCTGTCAAGCACGTTACATACACATGTACATGTACTCATAGAAGGGCATGACCGCTGAGATTACCAGTAATACTAATGGCAGGTAGGGAAATCTGTGGGACTAACACCAGACGAGCGCTCTATTCAACACAGGCAAGGGTGGTTGCGAAAGACCAGGTCATTCATGATTTACAAAAGGGATCTGTGCCTCGATCCTTGAAGGAAAGGTCCTATGGGTACGCAAGGTCAGTTTGATCGGCTCCGGCGTGAATCAAATCATTTTTATTACAATACACAGAGGTGGCAAACACATGCACACCCACATGACTGCCGCCAAGACACAACACACGCCACACAGACCGTACCCGATCCAGGTTGGATGTGGTCAGGGCTGTTGACTGGTTGGGAGCATCTTCGTCTTCGCGGCCGGTGACTTTTATGACCTGAGGTTTGATGACCTTGCCGTCCACACCCACATCACCATCCTAGTACAACAATGACAGTGATGGCAGCAATGACAAGGCAACAGTGACAGTAGCAATGACATGATGGCAGTGACAGTGATGACAGCGACAGTGGCAATGACAAGGTGGCCAGTAACAGTGACAACTGAGAAATTGGCAATGACATGATGACATGCGGACATGACACGACAAGGACGTGTTGATTTGACATGTCCAATTTAGTCAAGGAACACGACCGGCAGAAGAAAGCTGCTCTGGTGGCCACACGAGCAAACATCTAGAACGAGCATAGTTTTCGCTCAAACCGAGCGTACGAAACCCAATGCCATGAATAATCCAGGCCATTCTGCCAAACCAGGAACACATCTGGGAGCGGCTTGGCACTCCAGGAGTATGTGCTCCTAATCCGGAGGGATAGAGTGGCAGTATATGCACTGCACTGCACAAAGGGTATTCCCCTGTACTAGCTCAAGCCAGCTACAAGTATGAACATCAGTGTACAAAGAAAATCTAGTTTCTCCTCACCTGAGATGCTGCACCCCAGTGGCCTGCAGAGGATGATATATCCAGCATACACACACACACGCACACACACGCGCGCGCGCACGCACACGAAAAAGATCAGGTCAACGTTATGCAGCCGGGTATGCTTTTGTGAGCACAATAAAACCTACCGAGGCAACAAATCTGATATGGCGACCACCTGTCCCAGACAACCACGTTTTGAAGGTCCCACGTGGGGTCGCCTTGGACAGGTTTCGCTGAGTAACTGTGCAACGTACAGGGGGGGGGGGGGGGGGGGAGTGCCTGTTCGTTTCTCGAAATAATTATATTGATGTACAGTTTGTATGTGTGAGCACGTCCAGACATAAAGAAAAAAATATCGAAAAAAATATCGATACTACATACCATTTGTATGTGCTCGTTTCTCAGGGAGGGCTAGGGGGGTTGAAGAGAAATGACTACAAAAGAAAAAAATATCGGTATTTACAGAGGGCCCCTAAAGGATGCAGTAGCACGTAGATGCAGTGTGATGACCTACCATACATCTTGCCTCCCACTGTACACTTCAAGAATGTCATGATGTTCTGGGTTAGAGTACCAGTCTGTAACAACACACCAGCATCAACACATGCATGCACACAACAAAAAGTGAGCAAAATACTTGCCAGAAGCAATCGTAGATATAGCTGAAACACCCATTTTCACCACAAACACACAGATATACATTGTACGCATACGTACACCCACCAGGCCACTCGCATTACACTCACACCCACCCACCCACCCATACCCACACACGCACACCCACACACACTTATCCGCGGCCACTCACACACCCATCCCCAATGTCAGAAAGCAGTCTAGTCAACTATACCACAGTATTAGGCAGAGCAGCATTCAACACAATAAAAATAGTGACAAACGAACAGTGATGACCGGCACCCATTTCATCCAGAATACGTGCACAGATGGCGTCATCATGACATTGTGTACGTGGTCTGTTCGCCCGGTATCCATACATGCAGAGAAACACACATGACATACCTTGTCGGAGAAGATGTACTCAATCTGACCGAGCTCTTCGTTGAGAGTGGTAGTTCTTGCCCGCGCTGGAATGTCATACGGCTCATAATACATTTTCCGATCCCAGTTGATCAGGAAACTCTGCCCAAAGCGGATAAATTCCACGCTGATCACACACACAAAGCCACAGAAAAAAAACAGTGGAAACGAACAATTGAGCTCAGGTCAGACCACCACGGATTCCACTTTGCATACAAACCCGTGTTGTCAGGGACACTTATTGTCGGATCAGGTGCTAAACAAGTATACATTAACCCTTTGAGGGTCCATCGTTCGGGTGAAAATATACAATTGTAGTTCACTCCACCATTTCCACCAT